TTAAATAAGATTATCGATCAAGTGATGGATCATTAATTTATCAAATAAGTGATCGATAAAATGTAGTAGAGACACTTATGCTGATATGTGAACCAGAGAAAGATCAGAGTCACTTTGATTATAAATCACTTAGCAAAATGATCAAGATGATCATGCATGCTAAAAATAGTTTGGAAGAAAATAGAGAGTTGAATTTGAGAACCATCATAATTAATTGAAATAGAACTGGAAAAGTAGCGTGATCGAACAGTTTATCAAATACTTGTTGATCGATTAGATTATCGATAATTCAAGTGTTGCAGAAATGAAACTTTAGTTTATGTTGATCGAACACATTATCGATAAACTCATGATCGATAATGTTATTGATAAATACCATGAGAAAAGTATTCTATGAAGAGCAAGGATTAATTGGATTTATCAAATAGGTGATCGATCAGGTTATCGATAAACTGTGAAAGAAAGATTTTGTTCTGAAGCTGTTTATTGATCATGTTATATGAAAAAGTACTATGCAGAAAGGTTCCATTATCGATAATGTTATCGATAATTTGGTGATAGAAAAACTAAGTATGAGTAGATAAAACACTGATTATTGATCATGTGATCGATAATTTGGTGATCGATAAGGTTATCGATCAGAAGCTATGATAGGTACCTGCATTCAGAGAGTTAGCGAATAATGTTCGATCATATTATCGATAAATGAATGATCGATAATGTAATCAATAAATAGTGACAAAATTAATGTGCAGAACGAGTATAGTGTATTACCATTTATCGAAATCTTCATCGATAACTGATTTATCGATCATGTGATCGATAAATGCACTTCTGAATTTGGTTCTCTTTATCTGTTACTTGTTTGATTATCTTACATTATCGATCAAGTGATCAATAATTAACTGTAAACTTGTATAACTTCTACGTTAGTGATAATCGATCAACGGATTATCAAACAACTTATTGATCAAAATATCAGTCATATTACTGGTTTGCATTGACAATTTATCTGATAGCTTATCGATAAATACTTGATCGATCATATGATCGATCAACACACTGAACTACTTTAATCTAACTTTGTTATCATCAAAACCATAATCCTAACACACTATATTGCATTGATTCGGTTAATTTTTGGAGTAATCCCAAAGCGACAAATTAAGGGTATTATTTCATTAATTTTGGAAACCTAAAAAATGTGGTCTACGAAAACTAAGTAGGGTTCGGAAGTTGATTGTGTATGGAGAAGGTGTTAGGTACCCCACAACACCCGTTCAAAAGAACGGTTACCCTCAATCAACTACTCAAAATTAATATGACCTTTTTAATTATATTTTAATTGTCCAAAAAATAGAAACAAAGAAAAAATCTATTTAAGAAAACAAAAAATAAATTATTTATAAAGTTGGACTTGACCTAAAAAAAGAATCTAAGGCTTACGTACCCTTTAGAGGAATCAAAGTCTACTTAGTTCGGAGATAAAAATGCATGTCACTTGGTCAGTATTTTTTAGAAAATATTTATTAATTAAAAAAAGTTTTTTTTGGTGGGTTTGTATTTTTTAATATATGAAAACAAGTTTTTTATTTTTATTTAGAAAGTATTTTTTGAAAGAAATTTTGGATTTACTCTCCCTGCGAAGGTCCCCATAACTTTATATGGGAGAATAATCATTCGAGCTTATGGAGGTTTTAAAAATCTCACACGGCTCTAAAAACATTTTTAGATTATATATTCATATTTAAAAATTAACTTTCTATTTTATTATTTATTTGTAAATATGGGGACAAAATTATTTTCTTTCTTTTTATTTCAAAAGGGAGATTTGCACAACCACATTAGTATTCCTGTAGAGACTCCCATAATTTCACACAGTTTACCAATGAATCTAGATATCTGCGGAGGTTCTAAAAGCCTCACACGGCTCTAGAAAACATTTTTATTTATTAGTTTTGATAATCATATTTTTCTTAATTCAATTAGTAAAACAATGTTTACATCAAAATTCAAGAAATGATTAACACACGTTGCCCATAAACTGAGAGCTTCTGTATTCACAATAAAACAAGAAAAAGATGGCAAGAAGTATATGTGTGTGGAAATAATATGCATAGTGAGGCAGTATGGACATTTGAAACTTAAAGAGGGAAATCAAACAATTAAAACAAGATAAATCACGTGTCATTACAAGAAAATGAGAATAGATGGAAGCATGTACCCTTAAGACTTGTCGCATGAAAAGAATGAAGAATAAGGCCTTTTCTCTTACCTCTTCTTTGCTTCAGAATTCTCCTCCATTCTCTTCCTACAACCCTTACTCTCCTATTTAGGGGGTGTTTGGATGAAACCAAACTATGGTTTGGAGAATAGCTTCTGGAAAATAGATTTTGGAGAGAATAGATTTTATGAAAAAATGATTCTGAGAAGTGAGAGTATTTAGATAGTTGTTACCAGAAGCACTTTTTACATGTGCAAATTACTAAAAAGGACATAAATTAATATGATAATTATATAAGGGATAGATTTTATAATATATTTTGATTTGAAGAAATAAAATTGTTAATAAAATAATTTTTACTAACATAATTAATAATGTATAAGATAATATAACTAATAAATAATTAATATGTGTATATATATTTATAAATTATAAGATTAAATAGTGAAGAACTGAGTGTGGAATGAAGAGTGAGGCATCAATTATGGGGGCTGCTTTGTTATATGCTGTTGGGCTCACACCAACGTCTGAAAAATTTAAGCCAGAAGCAACTTCAAACCACTTCCACCGAAACCATGGTTTTGTGGTTTTGGGGTTCAAAACCATGGTTTGACCCCAAACCATGGTTTCACATTTTTTGCTCCTGTTTGGCTGGTTTCTTTCCCAAACCATGGTTTGGGTCTCCAAACTATGGTTTGGAGGGACATCCAAACTTATAGGCTTCACTTAGTGTTTTTCAATTTTTCTCTAATTTTTTCTTTTTAGTTTGCCTCAATTATGTCCTATAATGTAACTTCCTATTTAAGCACCAAATCATCATCAAATTGTGATTTTTTATTTTAATTTTCATTTTTTTTACTATTATGACTCCAAAATATGTTTCTAAATTGAGGGGCTAGTCAACTTAAATGAGGGATTTTTATTTTTATTTTCTAGTTTTTCTTATATCCCTCTTTAATGTGTTCACCTCATATTTTCTAAATTAGAGAGCAATCAGCATTTAGTTTCAATCTTTTTCTTTGTTATCATTTATTGTGAGAAATATGTTCTTATTTGATTTTTCTTTTTTGAGCAGATTTTCAAACTTGGTCATCAAGAAAGAATCAAGGAGGATATTTCTTTTATTATTATTGTTATCATTTTCTATCGGTTTCTTATTATTAGATTAATCATTATTTTTGTGGGCCTGGACAAAATAGGGCATTTACAATAGAGGTGGATAAAATTTGTACGGAACCATTCATTCCCAAGTACTGCTTACAATATACTAGAATATACTTCAATAAACATCCAAAAGCGAACAAAGAAAATTAAATCCTTTGAAGGCTCTGAAAGTTCTTAAGCAATTCGAAAAGAACAACATATCCAGCAGCTCCAAGAATCAGCAATAGAGTGATCTTCCCTCCGGGAACTAGCTCAGGTAGTTTCACAGGTGGAGATGAAACTGAATTCGAATTTGAGTACCTATCAGACCAGGACATTGCAACGGGAATAATTCCAAAGAGCACCAACACTAAAAATTGAAATGAAACTATGAGAAAAACTTGCCGCACCAGAATTAATCCCCAATAAATAACTATGAATTATATAGAAAAGATAAATAATGAACATAGTTCCATTTGCAGGCTGAACATTAACTTGATGAAAATAATCAACAAGCAAAAGCACTGAGACATGCCCAGACATTCATTATAGATATAACTCGATCAAAAGGGAACGGATCATTATGAATGGGGAGATAACTTAAATTCCATCAACACATTCTGACAGGGAATGCTTCACCGTTGTCGGTTCATAACTTTTAGGATTCTGGGTTTTCGCTTCTTGTTATTGCTCTGTTTTTGATGCGTTCTTAAAAGCAGAGAAACAGCATTTATATCCAAGAGGATACAATAGTTCCCCTTCAAAAAAAAAAAAAAGAAGGGAAAAAGCTCCCTCTTTTGTAGTTGAGCGTGAGTTTTTGAACCGTAACAATGAATAAGCATTATGCAGGGGAGCACGACGCTCGTTACAACACCCATTAGCCAAACACGATAATGGAAAAAGGTACTAAAATTAAGAGAATAAATCATAATCTAAGCTCAGTGAGTACAATGAGGAATTAATAGTCATCCATTAACTCCAAGATTAACATGGATTCAACAGTGTCTATTGATCGAGAGGTTGAGAACACGACAATTCTAGAACGATTTTTGTTTTTCTGCCAACCCCTACTAAATGATTAAGGGTAGGATAGGAAAGAAGGAAAAAGGCAAAAAAAGAAGACATTGGCATCCATGAATTTCAAAACAGGGCTTCATATAAAGGGACAGAGCGATCAATATAAAACCTCAGCTAACACGTTAAGAGTTTTTGAAAATCAGAACCAGCAAATGCAATAATAATGGAACATGAAGATCTATGTGTTAAATTGGAATCTTTTGGGTTTGATAAGGAGTGGTTGGCATGTATTCATCGGGTAGTAGTTGATGACAAGATGAAGCAACTACTTCAATTGGAATCCGAGGTGAGAACTGGCCAGTGGTATAAAGGGCGATCGATCTAAAACATGATGTGATTGGCTTCTTAAGTTTATTGGTTTGTATTAAGGCATGCAACACTTGAGGCTACCATTCTTATATTCCAACTTCAATTTTTCATGCTGAAATGGTGTAACACAGCAGATTCACAGTTTCAGATGTCAAATAATGATGTCTTGGGCATAACATTACTGATCGAATGGCATCTTTCTGTCTGGGCAGGAACAGAGCACCACAAGGAGGCCTAACAAAAAGGTGATGGTTCAAGCAGCTACGCTCACCTGGCATTGTGGGCTGGAGAAGCAGCTGCCTGTGATCCTTCCACCGTAAGGAGCCAGAGATTATCGCTGCTCTGTGAAACCAGCCTCACGCAGTGCCCTCTTGCTTAGGAACCACGAACCCCAAGCCTTCGGTTAGGAGCCACGGCTCGGCTTTCGACTTGGAACGGGCAGGCCATCTAATTGCCTCCTTCAACCCGACCAGGTAAATGCCAAAGCCGTGTTCCGTCACACTAGTGCCCCCACTTGGGTTACAAGCTAGCGTTACCTAGCTCGGTGTGCTGCTATACTGACACTAGAGTTTTATATCGTGTAGTTTGTTCTTTTATACTACTCAATGTGTGACTTGTTTCCAAATACTACTTGCCAAAGTAATAAGTTTTGCAATAAATATTCTTGGTTTTGTCTCTTCAGCGAACACAATCCTACGTGTTAGAATTTTACATGTAGTTGGAAATTATTTCGCAAAGGTGGTTCCATGGAGCAGAAGTAATCAATCTCCTGCATTTTCATTTACAAGATGACCTTAAAAAATAAAAAAAAAAAAGACCCGAGGGATTTTCCTGTATATTGTTTTGTCTCGTTTCCCATCCAAATTGTACGTAGATTATACTGTACCATTAGGAAGCTTGTACATCCAACCTTTTTATCATATATGACCTGTACATCCTAATAAATGATTAAGGGTGTGTTTGGTTGGAGGGGAGGGGAGGGGAGGGGAGGGAAAATGAGCCCCTCCCCTCATTTGGTTAAAAATTTTGGAGGGGAGGAGAGCTAAAATGTCCCCTCCCCTCCCCTCCCCCATTTTGGCTCCCCTCCAAATTGAGGGTTTTTGGAAGGGAGCCAAAATTTTGGACCATTATGCTCTTATGATTTTTTTAATATTCCACTTCTACCCATAAAATATATTATTATAATATTTATTTCAAATAAAAAAATATATTATCCTAAGTAAAAAAACAAAAAATATATACATTATTATAATTAAAAATATATTATAAAAATTATTTAAATAAAAAATTATAATATATAAAATTAATTGTTTTTTATAAATATATTATTTATTAAATATATTTAAAGCTGGAAAAAAAGATAGCCTAAAGAAAATAAAATTTCATTTTTCTTAGAGCATATAAAATTTGTTACTTTGATTATTTTAAATATATTATTATATTAATTAGAATAAAAAATTACTATAACAATTTTTTAATACACATATTAACATGATAAAACTGAATTTTTATTAAATTATATAATTTAAATTAAGATGTAAATTAATTTATATAACATATCAATAAAAAACATAAACTAATATGTAAGGGTAAAATGGTAAATTGATTATTACTATCCCTCCCTCCCCTCCTTGAACCAAACAAGGGATCATTAAATACCTTCCCCTCGCCTCCTTTTTAATCAAACCAAACAAGGTGAGGATAAAACCTCCCCTCCCCTTCCCTATCCCTCCCTCCCCTCCCTCCCTCCCCTCCCTCCCCTTCCCTCTCCTCAAACCAAACAGGCCCTAAGGGTACGAATGAGAAGAAGGAGAAGAAACAAAGACATGTACGAACTTAATTGCATCTGGGAGTCTGAAAACTGGGTTTTACTTACAAAAGGAGACAGAGGGGGAGTAAAAAACTTTAAAAAAAAGATTTATTAATCATTAAAAAAATTAAATTTACAATTACCTTAACTTTAACACTCCCCACCCAACAAAAATTAATCTCAAGTCCATCTGACTTAAAGAAACTTTGAATTTACACAAAAAAAAACATTATATATATATTGATGGCCGCGAATGATTGAAGTTTACAAACATTTATAATATTTTCTATCAAACACATATAATGAAATTTACAGAATTATTTATGATCATTTATAACTGGGCATATATTTCCTGCGTATTTTACTCGAAGCCTAAAATAGGGTTCGTTGTTATTTGTTACATATTTATGTATAGTACTGTAAATTTTATATTTTAAATTACTAATAATATATATCTTCGCAATGTAATCTTGTTGTATATCATTTCATATCGTTCATTTCTATAATCGATTGAGTTTTCTCTGCCATTGACAAGGCTTCATTATAATGCACCATGTTTTGCGTGCGTGTGAATGTATTGTCCTTCGTTCGGAAAACCTTGCAGTTTTCACTAAAAGGAATCCTTATATCATCAAATTGAAGGACATCCCATACATTCCAGGACAATCTTGTCGTTCATTTTTGTTTTCTTTTAAAAAGTTAAGATACAAATTTGTCTTGAATGTTTTCGTTCAAAAACACTAGGCACACTGAAGTTTTTTTAGGTGCAAATTTGACCTGAAATTTTAAAATCATACTAATAATTAACTTGGACAAATATGATACACTTGGAAGATTGAAACAATGTACAAGTGTGAAGAGGCTTCGCATCCAAGTTGAAACTTGGGCATTGAGTTGATCAAAACAATTTCCAATTTTGTTTATAAGTCTTGAATGAAAGGACTGATAACAACCATGCATTTAATTAATAGTAAAACTTAGAAAAGTATTATGATGATGACATCAATAATGACGGCATAGGAATTGTCACATTAATTTATAAAACGCCAGCACTAGCATGAGTGCTCTCTGCACCAATAATTAAGTTGAGAGCCCTAAGAAGTAAGATGGTATCCAAGTTGTTAGTTGTGCTTTTCTTAGCTGTTCAGTTTCTGATGATCCCAATCTCTGTCGCGGATGCGGCGGAGCATCAGAGGTCCTCCTACCGCCGGCCACCACAAACATCTTATATTCTTAAGTCACAATCATCAGAAGATGGAGATCCTAACTTTGGAAACGGAAAGAATAACCCTCCACCAAAAAGCCCACCATACAGACCACCCTATAAACCACCACCTCCGAAAGGCAAGCCACCAAGCATGCTTGCGAATGAGCCTCAAAACTGAAGTACATGAGGTTCCACAGAGGCACTAAGCCACTGCCAATTAGCTTATGATCACTGCAACCTTTACACACACACACACACAAAGCATATTTTTCAACTTTCCCCCCTTCTCTTTCTCCATAGGCGTTTAAGAAATTTGTATAATGAGTTTGTTGTGCATTTCTTTTATGAATTTCTAAATTCCCAAGCTAGGGGTTGAAAGCTACAGAGTAAGGATGTAATCTACTAATCTAGTTTGGAGAAGGCATTTTTGAATTTTATATGTTTGGCTTTTGGGTTTAAATATTTTGTATTTGATCTCTTTTATATTTATCTTCCCTGTGCTTAAATTGTAGATTTTAGGTTGCCTTCCGCTTAATCTTGTCATAAAAATTAGGTCACGAACTGAGACGTAAAATCAGTTTCTAGATCCATGAACGACATACACAATTAATCTACGCTAGGTATGGATAAATTCATGGCTGACTTATAGCTTAAAAGGTTTAATTAATTTAATAATCATTCAAGATATCTTTATTAATTAATTGGGCAGATCAAGATATTAATGAGATATGCTAATAGTATCAGATTCAGTTTTGTACTATCTGAACCAAAACCAATAGCAAATCACCAACCAGATGTATATTATCTAACCTAATCACAATATATACAAAAGTCTATTGTCCAATCTAAGTAAACTGGCTATGAACGTAGCTCTACAGAAAGAGATTAATAATTCTTCTGTCCTTAATATAGGATCTAATTGTTGAGTTGATTCTAATTCCAAATATAAGATCTATTTTTTATATTTATCAATTTTTTCTAAATGATCTTATTAAGGAAGAAGATTATAGTGTTTTAGGAAAAACATGTCATATTTTTTGTAATTAACTAACTTATTTTACTTTTTTAATCTAATTAAATTAGTTAAATATGTCTTACATTAAGAACTAGATGAACACTTTTTTTTTCTTTTTTTACCATATCTCCAGAAATATAAAAACTGTCTCTACTAGTATTTATATCTTCCTTTGTATAAGGTCCTGGATTTTCAAATATCTGCAAATTTAAATTAATGAACATATTAAATAAATAACAATTATAATCAAAATAATCAACAATTAACCATGGTAAAATTAAACTAATAACATGGTTGGGAACAATATCTAATTACTTGATCTCATTTCTTAACAGAATCGGTTTGAATAATTTCGTAGATGTGGTAAATAACATAAAAACAATACTTATGTCGTTGGGACCAATATCTAATTACTTGATCTCATTTCTTAACAGAATCTGTTTGAATAATTTCGTAGATGTGGTAAATAACATAAAAACAATACTTATATCAAGTTATTTATGAGAATTATGTCAAGTAGGGGTGTTCATGGAATGTGACAGTTTTTTCTGTCTTGTGTCTTGTCCTGTTCCTTTTTTTTTCTGGATTTTTTTAGTTTTTAATTTGAAAACTAATTATACCTGAAAAACATAATAGAAACTATATTAAAAAATAGATATAAATGAGGAAACAATGACAAAGAAAAAATATTTTTTGTAATTTTGATGGACCAAAATAAACAAACTTAAAATGTTCACTACAAAAAATATCGTGTAACCCATACAAACTAACTTATAAAAAAAAAACAATTAATAAATATCATAACCAAATACTATTACAATGATAAATAAAATAAATTTATAACAATTAAAAATGAAAATAATATGTTGGGGAGGGACTAGGATGGGACACCCCTCGTCCCATGTCCCATCCCGTTCTGGAACAATTTTATCCCGGTTTGCTTTCATCCTATCTCAAAACTTTCAGAACAGGACTATCCCATCCAAAATGAGTGGTACGGTATTGGGTCAGCGTATAGTTGAACACCCCTAATATCAAAGTTTTCAATCACACTGTTATGTTTTGGAAAAATATATGGCAATATAGTGTAGATTCCTTGTTCAAGTTTCAATAGTTCATACGTTATTGGCCAACAATTCACACTTCTATTCTATTTGATAATTGTCGAAAAATGAATGTCACACTGCCCAGATTTCAAAAGAAAGTCTACAAACTGTAGAATGTTAATTTTTATTTCATTTTTATATGTATAATGATTACTTTTAGTTTTATTATTTTACAACAAATGTAATTCTGCAATCAATTAAAATGCATCATGGTATATCAACCCATCTATATATCAATATAAAATCAATAGAAAATCACCCTATTTAGTATTCACCACGCTTAATCAATAATGACGCTCATGTTTTGTACTTGCCACAGTACATTAAGGTGAAAAAGGTGCATGGCAAATTGAGAATCAATTTACGAATAATTACTATTTATTTATTTGAGTACAGCACATTGATCTCTCTTCACTTTTGGAAAAAAAAAATTTCTCTTTTAATTTTTCTTATTAAAATTACAAAGGTCTCTTCTTTACTTTCCATTAAACCTAAATTTTAACTTAATTTTTAACCCTGACTAATATTTCATCACAGATTTTAAAGTATAAGTTTTTTTTTTTGTTATTTTGGGTTTAATACTACTTAGGTGTTGCCCAAGCAGTCCCTAAAAAATTGGGGGGGGGGTTATACCTTCTTTTTTTTTTTTATTTCGTTGGAACACAAACTAACTATAATTTGAGTATTCCACTATTCGTTGTGGGGATTTGAATACTCTATGCTTTTAGGGGAAATCCATTCTCTCGTTTTTTTCCCCAGACAATGAAATCCATTCTGATCAATAATATCATTGCGGGCCCCCATCATCCCTTTGATAATCAACCTCTCTTTTTAATTGACTAATAAATCAATTAGCTGTTAAGCGGATACAGAAATTTCAGCGATATGAGATTGATGCGACTCACAACCGCCTTCCTGTTTTCTCTAATCAAGTTGTCTTCTTATTTCCATCAATATTCACTTTCCACTTCACTTTCTACACCGGCAAATGTCATACCCAGCAAAGAAATATTCTACGCCGGTTGTAGTGTATGGTCGATCGGGTTGTAGTGTATAGTCCATCGGGATAGAAAGTGAAGAAAATATTGTTATTTAGCACCTTTAATTCTGGTTAAAGTCCAATTTTGTTGTGAAAGCTTCTGCGCCGTGAGTATCCAAAAGTTTTCTAAGGGATCAATATTGGTCGGGAATGTTAAAAAGAGGGTAATATTGATCACCAAAAATGTTAATGATTAACATTAGTTTTTTAGTCGTTAGGATGATTTTCCTCCTTTTTACCGCTTATGAAGCGATATAAAAAAATTTTGGATACCCACACCACATCTCCTACATAAAAACTTTGAAGAATTATAATAAGATCCCAAAAAAGGATAATTACTAGTATATCCTAATAACAATTGAGTAACTGTTATTTATTAGCCTGAAACTTGTTATTATAAACTGCACTGTTGTCACTAAGACTTTTTAATAATTATTTTCCTCAATTGAGACTTCATAGTAATTCTCCCTAAAATATATTTGGCTAAAATATACATTTGGTCATTTTACTTTATACAATGTATTTGGCTAAATATTATTGCCGGTCCCCACCATCCCCTTTATAGTCAATCTGTTTTTTTAATTGACTAATAACGTTAAGCGGACACAGAAGTTTCCACGATGGATGCTATTCAGTCACACTTGCTTTAATTTCCTGGTTTTTCTAATCAACTTGTCTTCGTATTTCTATTTCTATTGATTACCTAAATCAAGCTTTGAATATTCCGCATATACTTTTCTTGGTTAAGACCTTTCTCGGGTTTACAATTAATTACCTTGCTACCATCACTCTCATCATAGTATTTATTCTTGCGTCTACTAACAAATCGCATATATCCCTTCCACCAACATGGGAAACATCATCTTTCTGTTCTGCTTTATGTTCTTCATGATTTGCCCAGGTTTTTGTCAGTCCAATTTTACTAATTCCGATGAATTGGCGGCGCTTCTTGCTTTCAAATCCTCTGTTAGGCATCCTTACAATCACTTGCAAAACTGGTCCAATTCGTCTTCCATATGCAATTGGTCTGGGGTTACATGTGACTCTGAGCATGAGAGAGTGAGAATACTGAGTCTTTCTAACATGGATCTCAACGGAACCTTACCCTCACAGATTGGCAATTTGTCCTTCCTAGTAAAACTGGACCTCAGCAGAAACAACCTGTTTGGTAAGTTGCCAAAAGAGTTGCTTCAGTTGCAGAGGTTAGAAATTCTGAACCTGAGCTATAATGTACTCAGTGGAGAAATCCCAAGTTGGATAGGAAGCTTAGTTACCCTTCAACACTTGATTCTTGGCAATAATAGTTTTGGAGGTATCATTCCTGCAAGTGTATCCAATTTGTCAAAGTTGGAGACCTTGGGTTTGAATTGTAATTCTCTCCGAGGATCTATTCCGTTTGATATTGGAAGGCTTCAACATCTCAAAAATTTACGCCTTTCTGTCAACAAGCTTTCAGGAATTATACCTCCTTCCATTTCTAACATATCCTCACTTGAGCGCATCTCTTTGTCTCTCAACCTCCTACAAGGTATGCCTTCCATAATTATTACTTCTCCTGTTTCTTTTTATAAGTACTTAATGGCAACTTTACATAAATTAACAAAGTTAACAAGAGATTAATTATTTTTTTAAAAAATATCAAAATTAAATTAAACTCACTAAAAGAGTAGTTTGGTTAGTTAGGAAATTTTATAGTTAATTCGGAATACTGCTTATAAAAAATTAATGTTTTAAAACATGTTATATTATAAAATATGTTACAAGTCCGGAGGGAATATGTGATATATATAACTTTTGTTCTATTTGCTCACGTTTACACACACACACACACACACAGTGCATTCTATCAGCATCTTATTTTAACCTTACTTTGAACTGATGATACACATAAAACTTATCCATTATGTTTATGAAGCATAAATTTGAATATTTGAACTATGCTCATGTTCCTTGTAGATCTCAACTTTTATATAGCAAAGTAATAGTTTTGTTTAATTTTACTTTTATATAGTTGAATATTCGGAATTAAAAAAATAGCAAATGTTAGTTATGTTTCTAAAAGCATGGTCATATTTCAAAACCTGAAGTGATACACACACTACATCTGATATTTAATATAAGAGCTAGTTTGACATTTAGTTTGGTCCTAAATATAAGATCTAACTCCACTTTGTCTCTTATATTTATCTATTTTTTCATGGTTGTCTCAGTAATAGTTGTACATATTAAATATTTTATCAATTAACACTTAATTAACAGGGGTACTTTAAAAAAAAACAATATCTATTTATTACTCCCTCCGTTTCTTATTATAAGAGACAGATAACCGAAATACGTTGATCAAAAAATTAGTTAAAATTAGTTAAGAACAATTAATATGTAAAAAGTATAATTTATTTTCCAAGAATGCCCTCATTAATAAGGAAAGAGAATATGAAAGAGAATAATTAAAATATTAAAAGAAAGAGAAGTGGGAGGGAGAGAGAGTGTGAGTGGGAAACAATAAATATGGGTAAAATAGGAAATCAACACAAAAAAGTAGAGACAACTTTTAAGTGTCTCTTATATATAGGAACATACCATAAGCATCAAATGTCTCTTATAATAAGGAACGGAGGGAGTATAAAGAACTAACTTAACTAGTTTTATTAATTTACCCAAATAATTAGTCAGCTCGCTCTTATATTAAAGACTAGAGGTAGTGTATTTTAGTTCTAGTAAGCTTACTCCTTTTGTTCTGGCCAAAACAAAACTCACTCATTAGTGTCAATTATGTTGTACAAAACTCATGAACTGTACAAATTACAAAAATCCGTCTAAGTCAACGTTCTTTTTTCTTTCTTTTTTTCGGGGTCTAATATTATATGATTGGTAATATTGAACATCCCTCAAATTATTGGATATACATATATATATATATATATATATATCAAGAGACCACAATAATGCATTACGAACACATTTAATGACTGACTTAATTGGTTTTAATAATATTTTTTTATACAACAGCACTCACAAAAATGTTATTTTTTGTTGCCATATTGCAGGACATATTCCCATAGAAATGAGTAAGCTTACAAAGCTGAAAATTATCTACTTGGAACTTAATAAGTTGACTGGTCAAATACCAACGAGTATTGGAAACCTGCTCATGCTTCAACAATTATATCTTTACAACAATAACTTACAAGGTAAAATTTTACCACTCCATAATTTTGACTATCTTTATTTTTCCTTTTTGATGATTTTCTCTATACATGCATACTCTTTTGGGGTCCAACAACTAATCCTTTGTTTTTTTGGGCTTGACGAACAACTGATCTATACATGCATCGTTGGAAATACAGTATTGATTTCATCAATAATACATTGGGGTTGAAACATATTTATGGGCAATAAATTTTTCAAGTACTATATGGCAAGTTGGATGCTAGAATGCAAGGAACTCTGTAATATTTGACCCTTTACAGTAGATAGTGACATTCCAAAGCGGATATGGAGTCCTATCTAAAAAGAAAAAATAAATAGTGGTTAATATAAGAGTTAGTTAACTAATTTGAATATATTAAAGAAATTGAGTTAGTTATTTATAATAAATGGGTATTTTCTTCCCCAAAATATCCTTATTAATCATACATATTAACTAAAACTACCATTTGATGAAATGTTTAACATGTGCAACTACTACCAGGACAATTTTGAGAAAAATAGATAAATATGAGAGATAAAATATATTGAAATCTCATACTTAAGACTAAATTGAATATCAAATTAGCTTTTATATCAAGAACTAGATATAGTAAATTAAGAGTAAAATTGTATATTTATATAATAAATTTAATAAAATAATTTGTATTAATGATAAAAAATACTCTCATTATAAATAATATCATGGAGTACTTGATTATATTTAAGAGACGACATTTTATAAGTATATACTACAAAATATATCAAATTTCCTACTTTATTTTCATAAATTTTATTCTTTAATGGGATTGTTAAAATCAAAACCACAAAATAAATTTACAGGAATTCATTATCCTTTAAGTTTCTAATCAAAATTTGTCTTTATCAATTTTTTTGGGCAATCGAAATGAAATAAACTTAAAAAAAAAGGAAAAAAAGGAAGAGCAAACACAATTGAGAATCTTCTCTGGAATCAGAAGGCTGGGCAGGAACATCGGCAGAAAGATTCCTCTCCAATTGGGAAGGCGGACTTCATACCCAATTAAACAGATCCGGCTTTCCTCCTCTACCCTTACCAAGTTACCATCCTCTTCCCCTCCTCTGCCCAAAGCTACACGGGTTTGGTAGTGAAAAATGAAGGCTGGTCCCTTTTTTCCCCCCAAACCAATATCCTTCAATTTGAAATATTTTTTTTAATAATATTCAGTATCCTAAAATAATTTTTAATCCTACCTGCTCGGCATCTAAGAATATTTTTCAGTAGTACCTAATATCTAACAAATGACACTCTAAACTATTTTTCAGTAACACTCATTATCTTAAACTAATTTTCAGTACATCCAGTATCTTAAAATAATTTTTAGCGCATGTGGCACCCAAAATTATTTTTCAGTAGTATCCGGTATCTAACATGTTGCACTATGAGCTATTTTTTTTAGTGGCATCCAATATCTCAAACTAATTTTTACTGCATCCTGCATTATTTTCCTAGTACTAACACCCATCATTCTAAAATTAGTTTAGAATATTATGTGCTACTGAAAAAAATACTGCAGCTTCAACTTATTACTGAAAAGATATTTTAAAGTGTTAAATACACTAAAAATTATCTTAAGATAATGTATACTATTAAAAGAAATATTTCAGAGCGATAAATATTGGTTTTAAAAAAAGAGGGTCAGCCTCTATTTTCACATTCAAAACAGTGTAGTTTTGGGTAGAGGCTGAGAAGAGGATGGTAAGGGTAGAGGAGAAAAGCCGGTTCCAATTCAACTAGTACGACCCAGCCAACGAACAGTTAGAGGCTAATGTTTGAAAGAGTAGAGAGTAAAAATATCAAAATAGAGAAAGAGACATTTTTTAAAAAAAAATAAGTTAGGGGTCCATAATTCAAGGCTTAATATAGAGGGTCGATAATTCAACTGTCGACAAAGTTTATCCGTGTCAGTTGTTCTGTCTATAAAGTATAATTAACACCCGGTTAACTAATTTCGAAAGATTAAAAAAAGTTACTGAATGACATTAAAACTTTATATTTGTCATTTTTTTAATTAATTTGCCTCACTTATAAATTAATATACCATCTAATGATAGGTATAAGCATTTTAGAGAGTTCATTTAATATATGGTATAACTAAGTAATTTAGTAATTTTTTTATCTTCCAAAATTAGTTAACCGGGTCTCATACATTTTCTTAATCTTTCTAAATTAATCAACTGGATCTTATTTAAAGATGGAGGTAGTAATTTTTAAAAAGATTCCTAAACCATCAAATTTATATTAAAAATTATGCATGCATTCCGAACACATTTTACCGTTCATATCTCCTTTGATATAATAATTGTTTTATGCAACAAATTAAACTTCATATACTGCAGGAGATATTCCCAACGAAATTAGCAATCTTACACATGCGAACAAAATAGACTTGAGTGGTAATCACTTGTCTGGTCACATACCGAAAATCATTGGAAAATTGACTATGCTCCAAGAGTTGTCTCTTGCCGACAATAACTTAGAAGGTATATATACTTTTATCAAATTGAAAGTGCTCTGCACTTTTCTTTTGCTATGATTTTTTGGTAGGCTTTTCTATGATATTTTATGCATGAGCAAGAATTTGTGACTCTGCAGAATAATCCTTTTAGTCCTATTATAAGATATAAATAATCAGATTATGTAGATAAAAAATTAGTTAAAGGAAATAAATACCAAAAAATGTATTTTATTTTTCAAAAATACTCTTATCGATGAAAAGCGAGAGTGAGGAAGAGATAGAGAATGAGTAGGGAAAAAAGGACGTTAGAGATAATTAATGCAATGATATAATAGGCAATTAGTACGTAGAAAGAAAAATAGAAAATGTTTAAAATTTCAGATGTCCTTTAAAACATAGGACTGGGTCATCTCCAAATTAAAAGCATTATCTTTTATGTAGAATTGGATGAGTTACTATTGACAAACTTGGCGATCTTCCTAGAATGAATTTCACAAAGTTAATGTTAAATATGCTCTTTCATGTCAATATGGATTTGAAACTTGACAATACTTGAATGGGTATATCTGAGTTTGACAACCTAGAAATTAAGCAGCAAAATTAAAATAAAAAGTGTTACTATAATTCTTTTTTTTTAATGACTCTATCATATATACTAGTACTAAACAACCTAAGGGTTGCGCATTTTACTTCTAACTATTTATGCATCAACACTGTAAACATAGTAATTATTTTGGCTTGCAGGAAATATTCCCGATGAAATTAGAAGCCTTACAAATCTGGAAATTGTAGACCTATCAGCTAATCAGCTATTTGGCCACATACCAAGAGGCATTGGGAATTTGACTATGCTTCAAGATTTAAATCTCGAAAGCAATAATTTTGAAGGTATATTTTCACCCAGCAATACAACGTGCTATTATCATTTTTTTTTCGTTTATGTGATATACTCTTCATACCAGCATCATATAAGTAGTGCTTTTTCTTCTTTTGCTGCCATATTGCAAGAGATGTTCATTTATATCTATTTATTGGGGACTATGCTATTATGACTACTTCAATGGCAATATTTCTTTTAAGAGACATAGTGGCTACATGACTAACACATTGATTACATTTGACCATGCTCCATTAAGCCTTGTACCTTCACTTTAATAAGGTAAACTGACAACAGATTATATTATCTTCATAAAAATTGGAAAAATAAGATCAATGGCTCATGTTAAGACTGTTTTCAACAGATAAGTTTGTTTGCAAACAACTTCGTATACTGCAAGTATACTGTACTAATTAAGTAATAGCAAATGAGTAGGACATTGTTTTCATAAGGAAACAGTTAAGTAGTAAGTATACCGGTTGTACATTGTAGAAAATCCCCATTTTTCACCAGTTGTGACCGGTGTAGAAATACTCACTTTCTACCTCGGTTGATGTCAGAATTGGCGTAGAAATATTTTACACCTTTCTACACTGTTTCTGAAGGAACCGGTGTAAAGGTTTTTTCCCCCCTATAAATCGGTGTGGGAAAATGTGACACTCAAGGGTTAAGAGTACAAACATATGATTGACTCGAATAACTAATTAAATTCTTCGGGTTAGGCCAATCCCAAACCTAATATACCTCGATGGCCAGTACACAGTGCAAGTAACACATTGCCATTCAGTTAGGGGTTGCATGTAATGGTTCCTTGGTATGAAGCATTGAGAATGAGATCAGGATCATGATTGAGAAAACTTATTAAAAGAGTATTTAACATGAGAAATTACTTGTTATTTAGAATTGGGTAAACCTACGTAGATAGGACTAGGGAAACCTATTAAATTTTCTTTTGGGTATGTATCACTGGTGTGTGGAGAGGGGAGGGAGAAAATTTTTTTAATGAACTTGATTAAAAAATTGAAAAAGTGGAGTTTTAAAATTTTAATAAAGAGAAGATGTAAGATAAAAGAGTAGTAAAAATTAATTAAAAGCTTTTAACCTCACTTTTCTGATTTTTTAAATTAAGTTTATTAAAATTTTTCCTTCCCTCCCTTTCCATTTCTCACATACCCAATGAACCCTTAGGAAAAAAATTACTCCCCTCCTGGATATTGCAAGTTTCAAAATTGCTAATAGAATATTGTAATATGTTAAAAGATGCAAATCTACTTCAAAAGTTTTTACTCAAAAGCATTGGGTACTTAGGAGTTTTTTTTCTGGTGTAAATTTAATTTGAAAGTTCAAAATCATAACAATATTACTTCATTATGTTAAAAAACTAATGTTAACTGTTAAAATAGTGACGTTGACTATTAACATCTTTAATGGTAAGGGGCAATATTGTTATGATTTTAAACTTTTGAGGAAAATTTGCACCCAAAAAAAACTTATGGGGTGCCCAGCGTTCTTGAATGAAAACTTTGGAGTAGATTTGCATTGTAACCCAAAAATTTATGATTACTCCTCATTAAGGTGACAGAGAGACTAAATAAAAAAAAAGTTAGTCTCACATGCACGTACATTTAACTTCTATTGTTGATGTTTCTACCAAATTTTTCAAGAATTTTATAACTAAAAATAGTAAAGGACCTATAAACAAGATATCTCATTGTACGTTAATATCTTCCTAAAAGAAAATACATTAGCTTGAGGTAAAGTCTGGGTGGATGACTGCCACCAAACAAAAAAAAAAAAAAAAGAAGAAGTCTGGGTGGATGACATTAATTAGTGACCAAGCACTCAATATTGAGCATCATACAGGTACATCTAAATAGCTAGACATTATGGTTTTATTTGCATTTTTGTGTTAGCTTCAAATATTAATTTCATTGGTACTTCTATTGGTAATTGATTTCCAGGCTCAATACCTATGGAAATAGGCAACCTTCAACAACTTGAGACACTATTGTTATCTCAAAACAAATTGAGAGAATCTATTCCATCAGAAGTTTTCAACATCTCAACTTTAGAAGTCTTGTCTCTCTTAAACAATTCTCTATCGGGATATCTTCCATCAGATCTTGGATATGGCCTTCCCAATCTACAAGAGTTGTATTTATGGGGCAACAAACTTTCTGGAAGAATTCCGAATACTATATCTAATGCTTCTAAGTTAACCATTTTGGAATTGGAGCAAAATAATTTTGAAGGGGTTTTACCAAGCACACTTGGGCATTTAAGATACTTAGAAACCCTTCGGGTAAATGACAACAATTTCATCATAATAGATACTTCCAATTCTGAAACTTGCTTTTTTAGCTCGTTGTCAAATTGTAGACATTTGAAAACTCTGGTTCTCTCAAGGAATCCACTGCATATGAAACTTCCCAAGACCATTGGAAACTTGTCTGATTCTCTACAGATACTGATGATAGACTTTAGCGAGGTTACTGGTAACATACCATCAGAAATTGGGAATCTTTCTAACTTGTTTAAGCTATCTTTGGCTGACAATGTTTTAAATGGATCGATT